AAAAACAAAGCTCGAAACAAAGTGTCAGAGGCAAATTCGCCTTTCCAATTTTAAACGCACAAAACTGCACCGATACTCTTTCAAATCACTCGTAAAACCTACAATATGTTTAAACTCATTTGTGTTGTCTCTTATTCTTAATAAATGTCTTCATTTCTTTAGTTAACAGTTTAACCATTGTTGAAGCAAAACTATAATATAAACTATTGTTCATCTTGTTCGCTTATTGTTGCTATGCTACACTTACAGCACTCAAGGAGGTGCCGGAGGTGTGTCTTTTGCAAACAAAGACGTTTCCGGTTTACAAAAATATTTAATTAAGATTTCAAAATGAATATAATAAAGTGGAAATTGAACTTTGTGTCGTAATTTTGTAATTACGCATTTGATTTCAGTCCAAATTGCACTCCACTCAGTGCAATTACCATTATAAACAAATTCTGGGGAGGACATGTAGCCCCGGAAAATTTTGAAATATAGACTCCGAATTGGTATTACCTGCGTTCCTAGGAAGATTTGACATGCACAAACCTCGATCTAACCTCCTACAACAAATGTTTCAAGCCAAATAACGAGGAATTATGAATATATTTAACATAAATGTACAGGAGGAAAAACATTAGTGTGGGAGGCGGCGTTCGTGGAATATACCGACCTAAAATGTTTCCCCTTGTCTATTCCCTAAAATTTATGACGAGGCCTCCCACCCCTACCTCTGTTACGCCTATATAAAAAACCTCAAGTTTTCGACGGGCTTAGCCCCTTCTATTTTCTACGTTTTCAAACTTGGATGGGGGATTTTAGATCCCCCCACCCCCACCCACCCCGCCGTTAGCCTCCACTCACTGGATTCCACCTCCTACCCTTTGTTGGCAAAGTGATACAAAAACGCAAACCTGAAAACTTGATCTATAAATTCCTTTTGCCTTCCATATACTCGAATATTTTTCAGCCCTTCCATTGTGTTCGAAAAATGTGAGTAAATAGGACTTCCAGCTATGGACATCAGTCTTTTAATATCAGTAGCAGATGTGAAATAGACTTTGGAAAAGAAACAAAATGCCGGTAGTGCTATAAGGATAGGGATGATTAACAGAGGAGTGGTTATAGTAGCTAGTAAGACAGTTGCTACTGCAGGTGCGGCATAAAGGAGCAACATAAAGAAGTAGAATGGTAGTAGCTCGTCTAGATTGTTGATATCTTGGGAAAACCGGTTTAGAACTAGTCCGACTGGGTTGACAGCGTGAAATGATAGCGGCGCTTTCAGGAGACACGTGACCATCTTGTTATGAACCTAAAATGGATACGATATTGGCTCGATTAATGCGGGTACGTGGCAGATAGTCCTTATTCCTGAGTTGAGCCTGGAGGTATTGTACCGTTACGCCTGATGGATGAATACGCAGCAGGCAGCTCTATTTCCATGGATTGATTTCTCTCCGGTTACTCTGCTATTCCTCCCCACCAAAAACAAACCCTCCTACCTTCCTCCTACCTTCCTACCTTCCATACGTTGTGTGATGGAACCCAAACGTACGGCTTCGTTTAGACTCCTCGATCACGAGGAAAATTTCCCCCATAGGTGGGATTCCATCAGTTATATAAACGTTAACAGTTTTTTGACAATCGGAATTTTACGCACCTTATAAGCAGCGTTCATCAAGACCAGAAAGATGCACAGCGTACCTAAGACCATTAACACTACCCCAGCAATCACACAAAGTGTGTACACTAGTAATGCACGGTCAAAACTACTTTCTTCTTGGCTAGCTAGTATTGGCAATCGAGATGCTTTAAAGTCCACCAGAACAATTATACCTATAAATTGTAGATAAGACATTTTGAAATCTGCTAATTACTCTTTACCCTGAAAGGAGATCGGTTGTTTAAAATGACTATTTTCTGTTTTCTTTATCGTTTTCTCTATGTCACAAACTTGGACACCTGTTAGCGATCACTCACGTACGATAAGAAATTACTGACACTATTCAAAATGATTATGAGCTAGTTAGGACTGGAGCGGGTGATATGTATTAAGCAGTGTTAACTTGTGTTTATGCATCAATAGTGCACGATTTTCCTTGAACAAACATTTGCAACCCAGTGTACTTAAAATGTTCACTTAGACTTCTTTTCTTATTTAAAAGCATGTTACAGTTCATTGATATAATAACTGGCAATTATACCAAAAATTACCTTGATCTTGGATTATCTCGGCTGGATTGAACTTTGCGTTAAAATAAGTAAATAACTAACAATATTTGGCATTCCTGTATTCGGGTTTTTTTCTCTTATATTATTTGACGTGTAGTAAGTTGTCCTTTATTATGAAATTTCTTGACATGTCATTATTAAATATTTATATATATTTGTGACTTACATATTCAAGACTGCGCTTCAGCGAATGAATATACTTATACTTTAAGGTTTACATAGCAGTAGCCGCGCGTTTAGTTGCAGATCGCGATTTAATAGAGGGTAAAACAGCATGATGTCGCTGTTACGTCCATGCCATTTAGCAGCAGTTAATCTGTGGTTTAGCAGTAGTTAAGGCTGCAGTTTAGTTGCCGTATGGCTGCAGTTTGGTTCAGATTGCAAGTAGAGAAAACGTAGAATCCAACGAAGTTGTCGCAAAAAGAAGTGTGTGAAGAAAGTACAAAGGAAAGACGTATCGTCTAAAGTACAGGTGACGTTAGCGCATGAGGATACTACATTAAATTTGAATTTTGAGTAAAATGAACAGTACTTAATTAGGACTTGAACTTCGGCGTATTGAAAACTTTTTTTGGTAACTTATGGTAATGTGCGTATTAATGCTATAATATAACGGAAATACTGATGTGCTTACTTTGTAATTTTTGGACAACTTGTACTGCTTCAGATGTGATTTTTTATAAATTCATTAACCACTATATTGAATTCATTAGTGACTCTATATAGAGTCACTAATGAATTCAGCAGAGTGGCTAATGATTCAATCTTTTCATTAAAACCTTTAGTTTTCTTAACTCCATATTTCCCCTACGCTTCAAAGCCCTCGCTCTCATGATGATTTAACACACCATGAGATACGCCGCAATAAAACACTCGAAGCAGATTGGCGGAGTGGGCTCATCATTATCTAAGATGCAGTTTGATCGATTTTGTTGAAGCTGTGGTGTATTTGCAATGATCGATCAGCAGTTGATTCAATGATCTACCGCATATTAAGCACGGAATTTTTTAGATTATTTTTAAATAGTACTCGAGTCGCAGTGATCCCTCTCAATTAGACAACTCTCTGATATGCCACTTTGCTCTGTCTCTTCAGTGAACGTATTAGAGAGATTCTGCAAGTTTCTTACCTTGTCCGGAATAGAACACCAAAAAAACAATAAATAGGACAATCGCCGAAACTCCATATAAAAAGTACTCCTTGTAAACTTTGAATGCAACTCTTCCAATTTCTCGTTCTTCCTTCTCCAGTTTTAACGTCTCCGTTCCCTCCTCTTCATTGGAAACACACCACACATCTTGACCTCCCGCCTTTTTCCCGTCAGACATTCTGTTTCTTTGAAGCAAATCGAATTCAGCCAATAAATGACCGGTTTTGAATTCTTCGATTTTTCCACCTGCCAGGTGAATGATATGATCCGCTTCCTGGTAATATCGGGTATCGTGCGTTGTCAAAAGAACTATCTTACTGGATAATAGTCCTCGGATACAATTCCTGTAAAACATTTTGGTAATCCATCAACTTTCAATTGGAATATATAGGGCTGGTCAACCACAGGCTTATCAAACGAGGACGCGAGTTGATGAGAGTTCCAGTTCGTTCGCGTTTGACCGCCAACTCTCATGGACTCTCATCAACTTTGAGATGGTTCACATTTTGATGAGTTTTGACGAGGGTGTTCGCTACGCCCTCAGTAATACCCAGGCAACTCACATCAACTCTCATGCAACTCTTGTTCTCTTTTCACCGGGGTATTAGAGTTGAGAAAACTCCCATACAAACTCTCGCTCCTCAACTCTGATTTTCGTTTGACTGGAGCTTTACTCTGGATCCATGGCACTATAGCAATCGCAGCAGCCGCCAGTGATCGTGCTGGAGTTTTGAACCTTCTCTATTTAATCCGAGCGGCAATAGTCAAAATGACGCTGTACTTATTATGTCTGATAAAGTACTCAAGGGTATCAGTGGAAACAAATACATTTGCACGGGGTACCATGCTAATACTTTTTGAGACTTTTTTGCTGATGTTGTCTATTTGAACTAGGCAAAGTTTGCTAGATTTTCCATACTCGGATCCGCAGACGGAAACATTTACCCCAGTATAGGTCCTTTGCTTGCCCCCGTAGTGAAGCATGATTTTCAGATGATCATGAATCCGAATACTGGGGAAAATGCTCCAGTAGTTAAATAGTTAAAAAATTCCTGTCACTAATGGTGGTACCATTCCCCAATTAACCAAAATTTTAATCTCAACAAGTCTAGACAAAATTCCATCATAGCATGAAAGAGCATCACAAAATTAGTAATATATATTCCAAAGTTTCGTTAGGAAATGTCGTAAAATGCGGATAATATAGCCTTGCGAAATTTGGAATTTTCAGTCATTTTAGATTACAAACGGGAAATGGTTACCACTTTTCCAAAATTTTGATCTCAACTAGCCTAAACAAAAATTTCATCACAGCTTGAAAGAGCATCACAAAATTAGTAATATTCCAAAGTTTCGTTGCAAAATGTTGTAAAATTCGGATAATATAGCCTTGCCAAGTTTGTAATTTTCAGTCATTTTGTATTACGCACAGAAGTGGTAACCATTTCCCGTTTGTAATCTAAAATGACTGAAAATTGCCAACTTCGCAAGGCTATATTATCCGCATTTTACTAGAAATACATGCATGCAGTGACCCCTCGCCTTGCTAACCAAACCACTATATAAAGCAAAATTGAAGTATCAGCAGTAGTTGTGGTTGCACAACATATTTTTGATTCAAAATTGTATGAAGAAAATAAAAGACCATTACTTTTAATTTTTCACAAATGAAAGTTAAGCCGCAGCCCATGCATGGTCAGGCATATGTGGGGCATTTGATTTTTCATTAAATTATTTGGTTAAATTCCCTACCATGGGAAAAGAGATATCATGCAATCAATGTCTCACTCACAGAATACTACACAGAAGTCCATGTCCATTGGTTTTTTTTGCATAAGCGCAAGTACTCGATGATTGTAAAACTTCCAAATGCTTAATTTCAAATGCCCCACCCCCGGCAAAGGTTTGAGTTCAAATGCCCAAGCCCCGGAGATGCTTTACAGGAAAATGGCCCGGGGTTGGGCACGCTTGGATTTGACCGATGCATTAAAAGTCATGGAAGTCTGTGCACTAGCTAGAATAAGAAGTATATTTACTAGACAGTAAATACCAATAAACAGTAAATAGTAGACAGTAAATACCAATAAACAGTAAATAGTAGACAGTAAATACCAATAAACAGAAATGTATTTAATTTATATCATAGTATTTATACAATTTCATTTTTATACTATAAAAAATATATAAACATGCAGTCACAGATATGCAAAATGTTAACTTGGCTTTATTTATAGATTTAGCAAATAGCAATAAAAGTTACCTTCTCTTCACATCGCTTTATACTGTAAGTCAATGCTTTAAATTTACATATTTTAGAATCAGTTCATTTCCTCGTATTAAACTGCATGTATTTCTACATGAAATCATTGTGAGTACCGAGCGGGTTTACTATAAACGAACAGTAGGAATTTATAACATCTTTGAATGATCGTTGGACATTCGGACACAGTCGGAAAAATGTTGATGGTATCAATGTTGTACCGTCGCTTGCAACTAACGATGAACGGTTGCTCATAAAAACATTACATATATTTGCGTGAGAATCTTCAATGTTTGTCATGAGCAACAACACTTAGTTGACATGTTTTAATCTGATCAGCCAATATAACGTTCAAGTAGCTACAAGCTTGGTTGGCTTTGAAACCATGAAATGATCATCACAAACTTTGAACTTTTTCAGTAAAAACATCGAACTTTGTGATGAGAATAGACAATGTATTATCTGCAACTGTTCACCCTTAGTTGCAAGCGACGGTATTTGTAACCACGGGGTTATGGCAGTTACTGTAAGCCAGCATGAAATTGCCTGTGACATTGTTAATATTACTGACTTGAACTTGTATGACAAACACTTTATTGGAAAATTGTAAAGAAACAGAGGATGGAATATACTTGTACAGCTATCATTGGTATATAGCGTTGTGAAGACAAACCACCAGGTACAGTACCTTTTACACATTTGTAATTTTTATTTTATAATGAACGAATAAAGTATATTTATAGAGCTATTATTATATAGAACATGGGTCATGGTCATGATAGTATGATCATGATAGTGCAGTTTCATGTATAAAGTAATAACAACACAAACTATCAAGGGGGCTGGTTGTATGAAGCGGGCTATCTGCTAATTTATGTCAAGAAAATATATCCTTTGACCCAAAGCCGAAAGGAAAATCTTGATTAACTAAAAGACCAGTTTACAATATTTTTATCAACTTTTTTGAGAAAATCTTGAAGGCAAAACAGAGAAGAAAGTAATCGACCTGGTGAGATGGCTGCATGGGCTAGCTTTTCCATATAAACAGCCCTAATATATCAATTTAATAAATTTAACTGAAAAATAAACTAAGTTTAACTGTCAAATTTAGCCGTTATTACTGTAAACAATTTTAACAATTGCAGATTTGATATAGTAACAATATAAAATTACATTGTTAATTTATCAAATCTGCAATGGTTAAAAACAACTGGCCGTCCCTTCCCCTCTTTTGAACCATGCCTTTGGGGGCACTTGATCCTGGCATGCCCCCGTTCACCGCACAACCAGCATACTATGCCTATATTTGAAAATATAAAATTCTAGTATGTAGTATTATTAACCCATTGAGTGGCAGCACTCTCCACTTGACAAGTAAAATCATCTGGCGTTAGACAGAGCAAAATCGTCTGGCATTAGACAGAGTAAAATACTAAAGTATGGCTAATGAGGGTGGATTGCCTCTTAAAAGATTAACCTGTCAAGTGGAAATCAGGCCTCGAATTTCCCTGAAATCAATCGACGGCAATGGCGTTAAAAATTGCCGTAGAACGTAACAGCTGTCTACGCCAATTTTGGCAGTTTCCACGGCATTTTTTCAAATTACTGTAACAAAAATTTAATTTTATTGTTAACATAGTAATTTAGTGAATAGTATAAAAATTATACTATACGGCAAAAAATTGCTGTCGTTTCCGCAATGATCCACGGCATTTTGTACTCCCTCTACGGCAATTGCCGCGATAAAATTCGAGCCCTGGTGGAAATACACCAATATCACAGAGTAGAGACATACAGAGACGTAACTAGTGTACCCACTTTTTTTGTGCGCATGCTCGGCAAGTTACTAGATGCATGCATCTGATTGGATGACGACCTGATGACGACTCACTTTAAACTTGCTGAGCACGCGCAGTTGATCATTTTTCGCCCGGTCGCCTGAAAAAAAGTGGGTACATGATAACGTAATCTTCCGCAGTGTTTACAACGGTCAGTTACGTCTCTGTATGTCTTATCTACTCTGTGCCAATATGCACTCAATTTTGTTATTCTATTATGTATAATACCAGACAATTTTATTTGTCATCGGGAGAGTGTTGCCACTCAATGGGTTAGTCTGTTATTGGGTCCTACAGCATTTATTTGAAAGAATAAGTTAAAGCTGTTATTTCTATGGACATTTTTCGAGGGTTGCTGTTGCCTTCAATATGTTCACTGTACTCAAAATTGATCCTACTTCGAGCAATTTTTCAACATGGTGTCGTATATAATTTAAAAAATATTTATTTTTAAATGAAACAATGCTGGAAATTGGATTTGCACAGTTTGACTTCATCAGGCAAGTGCAACTGTACAACTCTTTTACATTGTTTAACCCATTGAGTCGCATTGCACCCGGATGCACCCTACGTTAGTATTTTACTCTGTCTAACGCCAGACGATTTTACTCGTCAATGGGAGAGCGCTGGCGCTTAATGGGTTAATGTTCTATATATGCAGAATAATATTATAATTGTGCTTATTTTTTGTATTTTCCAGGAACATTGTCGAAGAAACATTCATTTTCGAACATACAATAATTATTAAAATTTATTGTAAAGTTAATTGGTCCAATATTTTTGACTACTGTAATATCACAGGACTATTATAATATTTGTAGTTTTAGTAAAGTACATACGTGAACTGCATGCCACAGCATAATGGCCACGGAGGCCACACTTATAGCAACGTCCTAAATTTAAAGAAAATACAATCAGTTTTCAAGAATATTCATTTAGGTTACAGTACATACTGGAAGTGCACTCACTAAGATGTTGATAAAATACAGATGTTAACAAAATATACAGTACTTACCATTGCCCATTCTCCTTGCTTGATTTTCTAAATTAGAAAAATAGAATCGAAAGAAGTTTAATTTTCCAAAGTTCTGAAGTAAACAAATGTGAAGTTCTACTATATATATAGACGAAAACAATGTGCTAAAGTTTGACCCAGAGCTAGTGCTAATCGTGCGTTCAATAACAGTCCTCAGTACTTAGTGTATAAATCTATTTCAAGAACTATACCGTCACGACGGTGTGGGTGTCGTCCATGATTAACTGTAATGAAAGAATGTTGATTAGTTTGAATTACACAAGAGAGGTATGTATAATTAAACTTTATAAAGAATGTACTATTACCATGCCGTGGACGTTGTTGTCGTTCTTGAACTGAAAAAAATAGTACTAACTGTAGTTAGACCAAATTACATATTACAGATATAGGTATGTAAGTATATCAACATTAGAACCATACCATTTGCATCTTCTTGTCGAGGTTGTTCATTCACTGAAATAAAATCATGCACCTTACTGTAGAAGTAATAATAATATAATTATAAGTATGATTGAACCATACTGAACATATTCTTTTATAAGATTAACTTACATGGCTGGACTTCCCCTTCATCCTCTTCGACCTCACTTTCTATAGTTAATTAGAAAAAAAAATGTTGCAAATATTCATAAGAAATCTGTAATATACTTAATCTGTAATATATTGTACATAATATATTCTTAATTATCAATCAAAACTATATTATTGTAGAAAACATTCACAACTCTACCATGGAGAAAATAATTGAAAGTTAATCCTTTCTTGTCAATTGAGTACATCAGATTTTATTATTTCTCAAACAGAATGACCTAGCTTTAAGAATTTGTGTTTTAAATATATAACTGAATTCTTACCATCACCAACATGAACGTCTAAAATAAAAGATGTTGTGTTAGAAGGTTAAAGATGAGGTTACTGTGTCACATGCATGATATTGCAAATTGATAATCCGTAGAATGTTATAACGATGCTCTGTAAAATGAAATTGTCAGTATACACTTTATTACATGTAGCTACTGTAGGAGAGGACAATCTACAACTACTGTACATGCATGGTACTCACTGGGTAATTGGATTGAATTTTAACATGTTTACATGAGAAAATATTTCATTGTGGCTGGCCAAGAGGGTTTTCGCTGAGCAATTGGTCACAATTAACTTTACCTCTGCATGGTCACTGAAATATTGGTCACAAAAATATACCTCGAGGTCACAAAAATATACCTCAAGGTCACAAATATACTTCAGTCTGTACAACTGTAGCCAAACAATTGGTGACAACTGGCCTCTGTTCACACAATTTACTATTAGTTGTAAGTCCATTTAATTTTATGTGAGGTCCAACCAGCTAGAACAAATGTTGCTTTATATAAAACCAAAAAGTAGATATTATACCACATATTTATTGCAATGTACATACCAAGAATAGCAGGGTTGTCCAGTTCCGGTAATTCCACTAAAATGAAATAGTTATAATATAGGGATTAGTTATAATATAGGGATTAGTTATGAAATAGCTAAGTTTATAAGTCCAAGATATACCTATATGTTCAACCTGGATGCCTCTTTTAATATGGTTTTATTCGCTCATTCAAAAAATTGGAGCAACTTACTTTTGTGTCTGTTAAATCTTTGCTATAATTATAAAAGAAAATATTAAAGGAAATCATTAATAAAATACAACATCTCCACTCCCAGTGCATATTAAAACTAATATTGAATACATTTCCATCTTTTATATTGAACAGGAATGTTTTTGGCCATGAAGCAAAGGCTGTTTAACATCAGCTAAGAAGCATACTATAAATAATTTTAAAATATAGTCATACCTTTCCGCCAAATTATTTGAAATATCTGTAAAAAACAAAAAAAACTGTTAAAAACACGAAAACTTTTTTGTTGTGACAAACTCAGTAAATGAAGTTATTTTTGCCCAAAACATATATATTCCACAAATAGTAGTGTAACTATTTTTCGTTCAAAGATACAGTGTATGTTCAAAAAACTTAACACATTTTAAAGTTGTTTATTTTTCGGAAAAAAACTTACTGTCAGTTACTGCCTAACAAAAAAGCCAAAACCCAAAATTTCGCGCGCTTCGTATTTACGTGGATGTTGCGTGTGAATTTTCGGTAACCATAGTAACACACGCAATATCCACGAAGAGTGATCTGGAGTGTCTTGAATACTATTCTGGGGCCAGTTGTTCAAAACTGGTTTAGCTTAAACCCCAGCTTAACCTAAAATTCAAAGCAAACTTCCTCACAGCTTGTCTATGGAAATTTGGAAATATTTTTCCAGATATCTTGTCTGGATCTAAGGAGTTTACTTCTCTGAAGTTTTGAAATAAACATGCGTGCAGAAATACATAAACTAAAACAGAAGGTTAAATTTTGACCCAGGGTTAGCGCTAACCCACCGTTGAACAACCGGCCCCTGAGTTCCGTTGTACGAAGGTCAGATATAGGGCTATCCACCGGATAGTGATTTTTTCAAACTTTATAAAATGCTTGAAAAACTGTGAAACTATGGATAGAGACGACACACAAGTGAGAAGAAGTATGAAAAACATCTAATTTATAAATACTAAACTTTAATACGAGTTATACCAATCAACGACTGATTTAACAAAGCTTGAATATATTAATCACTATCCGGTGGATAGCGCTATCCGGCCTTCGTTTAATAGGCTTCGTACAACCGGTCCCTGTAGTCTTGATCTGAAGGGAACTGTTTTATCAATAGAATAGTTACTCAAAACAGGAGAAAAATCTTACCTTTATATGAATTTGGTTCAATTTCTAGAGATATAAAATATTATGTAGAAGAAAAAGACAAAGTTTTAAATTTATAGTATATATACGTAATAATACTATTTAATATTAAGCACAGGTATGTCAACATGCAGCCAACCTCTAAAACATAATATATAATATTATGTCTAGGTAACAGGCAATGACAAACTCCCTGAATGCCTTCCTCAAAAACACAATAATAGAGGCATAGACTACACCTTTAAAATTGTGCCTAGTAACAGGAGAAATAACCTCGAAAGCACAGTATATGTGCCCAGTATACTATGCTGGTGCTTGAACACCACAACTCTTCAACTAATATGACAACTCATGACCTATTATATGTTTGGACAGTTTTCTCTGCAAGCACTTTAAGTCGCTGTTCAGCTTCGAGTCGTTTTTGCATATTTTTACTCCTACCAATTGCTTTCAGGCGATCAAATGTCATAGGTTCAAATACAATATCATGAATCGATCTCACCCGTGATGTAGCTACAAATGTGCATCCAGCAACTTTTTCTCCTTTACCTAAATCAACAACAGCTTTTGTTAGTGTCTGTCCTTGTGACTTATGAATAGTCATTGCATACCTCAACCGCAAAGGCACTTGTTGCCTTGACAGATACTTTCCATCAGCCACCCATTCAAACACTTTGGGTGGCACAGGTATACATTTAGAACATGCATCTAGGAATGCAGGACCAGTGTAACTATGGAAGTGTACCAATACTGCTATTGGCAGGTTTGGTGGACCCATATTCTCTGCAAACCAAATCTGCTCAATAGTGCCAAATGATCCATTGCAGAGACCAACTTCAGCCCACAGGTTGCAAGTGAGCATTACTTCTGCTTTTGTGGATAAAAACAGAACAGCATCCAATCCACCAGCTTCGTCCGACGTTGCCGCACTGGCACCATGACCAGAATGCTTTGCCTGAATTTTAGCAACAGGTTGTCCAAGCTGCAATAGCTTCTCGTAATTGTATTCAGCAACACTTTTCTTGTCAAAGTACAATCGGATGGCATCAGTAAATTGATCCATTGGTACACTTGTTGTTGAATGCTCCAACAATAGTTTCCAGTCCTCCCCTGTCACTTCTCCATTTCGCATTCTCATCAGCAAGGCTCTAAAAGCAACTGTCTCGTGGTCGTCACCAGCCTGACGCATAACTTGATCTAAAATAGTGACAGACTCAAACATCAGATACAAACTATGTCCATGGTCACTTACTACTGTTCCATTACCTGAAACATACATTGGCTTATCACCAACAGGTGGTAATTGACCAAAATCCCACATTAGAATTACTGACATACCACCAAAAGGGACATCTTCCTTTCCAGTACCAGCACGTAATCTATTGTCAAGCCATGATAGCATTTTATGTCCAATCATTGACATTTCATCAATAATCAGAAATCTTTTACCTTCCAGGCTCAGCTGTAACCGCTGTAGTGAATCACCCTGCAAATCCCTATATTCACGGATAGGAAGTTGAGCAGCAGAATGTAATGTTTGACCATTAATACTAAAGGCTGTAATCCCAGTAGTTGATGTAACAACACACTGGGTGGCTAATACTTGTTTTGTTGCACTTATTAAGTATGTCTTACCTGTGCCAGCTGTGTTCCACACACAATCATATAAACAGGCTCGGCATTATCACCATTCTGAGATGTGATGATGTCATAAGCAAGGCGTTGTTTTTCATTCAAGGTCTCCGGATCAATTACACATTGTTGATCATCTTCTCGAAAATGCTGACCATGTTCTTCAGCCTCCTTTGTCTGACTACAGATCCATCCTGGAGATTCCTTTAATATATCTCTAGGCACAGCTAGCTCTTACCGTTTCAAACAAGTCCACTGCTTCATTGTCTGACATCCGATTACCTGCTTCACCATAATCTTGGTTAATTCTGCATAATAACATCCAATAATCGCCTTCCTCCTCATCATCAGGGTCAACTTCACTTCGATCGTTTTCAAAGATTTGACCACATTGCGCATCATGAACTCTGTCTGTTTCATCGGAATACCTAAACACATTTTCTTCTGCAAATTCATCTGTCATATGCATTAATAAACATTTGAACACTTTCATCCTCGTTGTTCCAAGCATTTGACGGTTGACCCTCCCATGGTTTAAACTTTATTAGTTGATATTTGCAGTATTTTCCAAAATCAGGACCAGTAGGATTGGCGGAAATCTTTGGAAATGTCCTGACAATGTACAGATTCGCTCGTTTTGTCAACTCACCTCGGACTTTCGTGTACTGTGACACATATTGCATCAGATTTAGCTGAGACAAGCCTGTATATACCTACTCTTCAATTTTGTACGTTCTGCATATTCTTGTAGCGCAGATTTTTGAAGTACCTCATCGCCTTCATTTTCTGCATCAATATTAACCTTCCTGCCGTTATCTAAAGAAATAGTAACAAAACTAAATGTGCAGCCAACCAGTGATAGACTAAGTAACATATGTGCAGTTTCTTGTGCTGCCATATCTCTATCCCCAGCAACTTGGATCATTGCTTTCTTGAAGGCCGAAGAGACTTGAACATCATTCTGTAATGAAGACACAGACAATTTTAGTATTTCTGACGCCGATTCCGATCGGGGTTCTCCTTTCGCAGCATACTTGGCCATGTATCTTGCACAAGCCTTCTCATCTACAATAACTTGCAAATCTACATTTGCCCGCCAGTTTTCGAGCATCACCCTGTTATGCGAATTTAATCTTTGATCATTTCGTTTGGTATGTAACTCAGACTCAACAGACTTCGTATTCTTACCTACCACCAGCTCAAGGCTCAGTTCTGTTTCTTCTTGCAATGGCTTTGGAAAACCAAATCTGCATTCTGCAAGCAGGTCCACTCTTTTCTGTTTCAAGCAATACGCTGGACTGCATCTAGTGTGTCTTTCTACAGTATTAACTAACCTGTGATAATCATTGTCACGATTATCCACTGTTGTAGCACTAACAGCAGATGGATGAGGGTCTGGTATCCTCCAGTTTTCATCTGGCAATTCCTCATTAAAAGTTGTCACCAGCCAGTCAACATACCTTTAAAATAATCAAAACTTATTATTAAACATGTGCGTTTTTTCTATTAGCCAAAAATTACCGAATTAGTCATAAAACAGTTTTAATCACACCATTGACTGAGTGAAACATTTTCCTGTGAAACCTGTATGACCACAGTCACAGGTGAGTTTGTGCCACAGTTAAATTTCCACTTTCTATTTATGTAATTTCTTACATTCCAATGAAATCTTCAGAATTATTGAAAATTCCTTGAGGAAAATTGAAACCTTTTAAGGAATTTTATAAGGAATTTTTGTTTACATGTAAAATATTGTTACTTTTTCAATTTTAATGTTTAAAATATCAAGGACACAAGTTGACACTGTATTAAACTTGCATTTACTCACTTACGTTGTCATAGGCATAGTTGTGTGCTGGTTCACCCAGTACACTCAAGTTGTATACATGCATATAAGCAGGTTGTATGCGACAATTTTAGGCAAAAGTTGTGTACAGTAGTTTATCCTGCCTTTTAATTTACAGTAGTAGTCATATTATTAAATATCCAAAATAGACAGCAGTGGTTAATACATGCATAATACAAAATTCGCTTTTTACAGTAGTTGACATGAACATTTGACCTGCACACTTTTAGTTGATATCAACATTTGGGAGCATGCCAAGGTATAGTTTTAATGGTATTTTGAAATGCTATTGCAATATATTGAGTAGGAGGTACAGTAAGACATCTCTAAAAATGCAAAATTCAATGTTATGACCATGAGAAGCGAGTCCGGTATTGTGTAACTACTGCAATAATTATGATCGGTATTGTGCCGGTACATGCATTTGAAGGCCTGTTGCAGGATAAAATTTTATTATTGAAACAATTAGCCCACAACAGATTCTGCACAGTTAGCTTGATCTCTACGTACAGTACACATTGGAAACATTAATATGCAAATATTTTTTCTTACTGTCTTAACAACTTCTCAGCATCTTCTCCCTGTCTTATCACATCCCCGCAAAGGAATTCAAAATCATCAGGTGACATTTCGTACCTTGTTGTCTCACCCTCTAGGAATGCAACACATGCCTTATTACGTAATTCTCTAATATCAGGGTCATTTTTTAACTTTTCACATCCGTGGCAATGAATACTTCCTCTAGCTTGGTACTCAAATCGATACCAGTACCACTCAGCATCCAAGACGCCATTAAGCCAATGTCTGACAAACTCCTGCAGCCGCTGCATAAAGAACCAATCAGTCAGATGGGGATTGTCGATTACAGCTTGTGCTCGCTCAGATCTGCTTGCACCTTAATCATTCTGCAACAGCCTCTGTAAGTCTGGCCAATGCATGTCAACTGCACTAAAAGTAAAGAACAAAGTAGGGCAGCCTTTTTGTTCAATCAGGGCCAGCAATTCCTGCAGCCGCTAATACCAATACTGATTCGTACCTTGTACTTTGGACTCATGGAATTGACCATCTGTTTCAGTTCTTCCAATGTCATGTTTGCATCAGCAGGATGTTGACGCAAGTAAACGTTTGCTTGTGACAACAGCTGCATGATGTCGTTGTTTCATGTTTAACGCTCAATAAGGAAACCGAGGGTGAGAAGCAAACCTCCATTCAAACTTACCATCTGCAAGCCTCTCTGCAAACTTCATTAAATGTTTGAAAGCTTCGGTTAACGTTATACCATGTTGTCTTGCCCTATTTGTTGGGTCACCCTTCCCATAAGGAAACAATGTAGGAATTTAAGCTAGGCCATACTAGCTAAACCATCTGTTTTAAATTCATTAATGAGATTACCTTCAGTAGATGGCCAGTCTAACGGATCAACCTCACTTACTGCATCTTGGATAGCCGCACCTTCTTTTCTCTGTCTTTGACGCATAGGAATAAACGATGTACTGCCACTTCCTAAAACTAACTCTTCCACACTTGCATTAGCACTCATTACTGGGTCTTGGGGAAGCCCCTCATTTTCAACATGAACTGAAAGCTCATTTTTATCAATGACATACCTTAGCTCATCGGGAATACCATTTTCTGGTAAACTTTGGATGACATCTCTATCAATTTCGATATCTTTAAAGAACGGATTGTTTGTCTTTAACCATAACACAGCCTCTAGAACTTTGTGTCGACGCACAGTAAAGTCTCGATGTGTGTGTTCTGCACCATGTCTTCACACAATCAAAACAGGCAAGTCTGCCACACGTGAAGGCAACCTATTCAAGGAACTTTGAATATCTTGTGGTAAGTTAAGTACATGTCCTTTATACCCCCTCTGACCACCATGTTTTCTATACAGCTCTCATAATGGAATTTAATTTAATTAACATTTCTTCTACCTATGCCAAACCTCTCAATTGTTCAGGAACTATTCCTGGGTCCATGTCATTCTCTGCACTAAATTTCTTGTGTGATTTCTTGTCTCTTTTGCACCGGTAACAAATGTATACTTCTGCTGCCAAGTTCTGTCGTGTCGACCAAGCTTATTTACACATTGTACATTGTCGATGCTCTAAATGTTCTTGATCTAAATGAAAACTGTGCATTTCATTTTGTACAAACTCTAGCTCATGCAGAGGGTTGTCACCATTTTGCCAACCACCCTAATGTAAATATTCATTTCTACTCACCCTGGCCCCTCTGCTTCATGTATAGACTCATTATCCTCGTCTGCTTCAGGAACAGATATATCTACAGTTGGATCAACAGACATACTCAACTGCTCATGTGATTTTTGGTCACTTTCATTTGAACTTGCTGTGTGACAAAGTGCTCGTAGTATTTCAAGTATTCTTGCTCGTTCATCAATTGTTTCGGTTGCTTGGTCTTGCTTTCTCTTTTGTAGCCTGTTTGTTCGTTCTTCTTCAGTCTCATTTTGCATTTTATCTAAATCATACACTCTCTTATACTCTTTTTGCTTACATTTAGCTTCTGCAGTCCTTTCTTGGCACGCTTCTCTTCGTTTTGCCAAACGAGTTTCTCTTTCCTCGGCACTTTCTCCAGCTTCTTTCTGTTGCCTATAGACTCTCTTATACTCATTTTGTTTACCTTTCGCTTCAGCAGTCTTTTTTTCCCATGCTTCTCTTTGTTTTGCCAAGACTAAGCAGAACTGTCTGGGATGCAATATACGAAGTAGAATACAATATAATGTACGTCTGGGATGCAGTATACGAAGTAGATGACAAAGTCTCAATTTTCAATGGAGTTATTAGTCAAGCTCTAGACGGATGTATGCCTCAGAAATCCATACACCTTCATCCCAAGGATAAACCTTGGATGACTCCGAACATTAAAGCAAAGATTAAGTATAGGTTATTTTGAGGCAACGAGGGGATATGTGATTCACTGAGGCGCGCAGCGCCGAGGTGAATAAACACATATCCCCGAGGTGCCTCAAAATAACGTACTTAGTTTTCACATTGCGAGGTCGCGTTAATGAGTCAGAATAGAAATAATTCTTAATGCCATATTGCCTTCGTTATGTTGTTTTTTTCTCATTTTTTTGTGCTGCAAAGACATTGCAGGTGAAAATTAAAGGGGATTATTAATTGCAGGTGAATATTAGAGGGGATTATTAAACGGAAATTGATTAGAGGAGAATATTGAATATATTCCCTGATAAGAACAAAGGAAACCGAGCAGGGTGAAAAATAAGCTTAGACAACGGGCTTTTACTCGTGGCAACATGTCCTAGTATAATCTGCTAAGTGCACAAGTAGAAGATATGATTAGGAAAGCCAAACCAAATTACTATCAAATTAAAGCTAAAACATTCCGTACATCTGACCCTGCGAAATGGTACAAAGCAATTTATAATCTGTCCGGAGTAAGTAGCCAGCATGAAGGCCTAACAGAAACTCCATGGGTAGCGAGGCCGCTTTAGCAGAAAAATTTCAAATATCCTTTAATGAACCTTTTTAAAGACCTAATTACCACAAGTATTCCCCAACTAGATGAGGTTGAGTCACTTCTCAAAAACTATCCTCCCCCTCTACCTAGTATTGGCCAAGAAGAGCGTCCTAAATCACCTTAACCACTCGAAAGCAACGGGAGCCGTTGGTGTTCCAGCATGGCTACTTAAACGATTCTCTAGCGTTCTAGCGCCGATTTTTCATGACATCATTACGGCTAGCATTGAACAGTGTAAGTATCCAAGTCATTACAAACATGGCCTGATAACACCTGTGCCTAAAGCATACCCACCAACTGATGTTAGTAACGATTTTAGACAAATCTCTGTTTTGCCACATATTGGGAAAATCCTAGAGAGATTACAACTACAACTCAATCAAAATGACATCATACTACGTCCCAGTCAACATGGTTTTACTAGTGGCCGTTCTACTACATCGGCTCTGATATCCATCACACAGCCATGGTTTAATACTACTGACAATACCTGCCGTGACAAAGCAGGCATCCATGCGCTCTTTATCGACTTTAAAAAAGCCTTTGATCTAGTTGATCATGGGATCCTGTTGAATAAACTTGCATTGATGAATGTTAATAAAAGCTTCTGGTTAATTGTGGGTCAAAAGCTTCTTATCTGGTAGAACTCAGCAGGTCAAGATAAATCAAATACTTTCTGCGATCGAGGGTTGCCCAGCTGGAGTACCGCAAGGATCTGCTCTTTCGCCGACTCTTTTTAATATCCACATTGACGACTTAGATACGAGTGTTCCTGAAGATCTTTAGGTGAGCACATATAAATATGCCGATGACTGCACACAAAGCGAATGCATCATGAAGGGAATGTGTAGTAACATGCAGAAAGTCTTATACTCCGTTCAGAACTGGTCAAACGCTAATAGAATGAAGTTGAACGCAAAGAAAACGAAAGATATGTGGATTTGCTTTAAGAAATCTATCCGACAGACTCCCAATCTTTATACCGGGATGTTATGATCGAAAGAGTTAATTCATTCAAGTTACTTGGTGTTAGCTGTCAAAGTAAGATGAAATCGAATTCTCACAACAAGTAAATTACTCGTAAGGTAAACAGGAGACTGTATCATCTAAGGCAGTGCAGGAAGGCTCACTTTCCTACTGAAGTAGGATTGGCAACTTACTGCACCAACATTCGTCCATTGCTTGAATATGCCGCACCAGTTTGGGGTGGCCTACCTCACTATTTAGTGAACGACCTTGAGCGTATTCAAAGGAGAAGCTTACGTATTATTGGTTTACCGGTCGATACACTTCCCCCGCTTAGTGAGAGAAGAGATAAGCTAACTCTTCGAGAAATGGAGGCAATTACTCAGGACGTAAACCATTCCTGTCACCACCTTGTTCCTATCGCACAGAAGCTGGACTATTCCACTAGAACTAAAGAAAGAGGTTCTAATGTACGTCGCATTATTTCCAGAACCGAAAGACATAAATCATCGTTTATGCCTCGTGCAATTAAACTTTTTAATAATAAACTTTAAATTACTACTGTAATATACTGTAATAGGTTCTGAAATTTTAGGTTGAATGTAGGTTGCATTATTCTCTGAATTGAAGGACATAATCGTCATCTGTGCCTTTGACAACTGAACCTTTTTAAAAATACAAATTTTTATTGTAATATGGATGGTTTTATAATGTTTATGAATTTGTAAGTCCACTGTATTTTTTTACTTAAGGTCGATTATTATTAAAGCTTTACATCACAGTAAAAATACATGACCGCCTCCCATGATCTGTGCTTGATATAAGAAGAAGAAGAAAGACCTCATAAAACGTGCAGAAATAGTCAGCGCAATTGCAATATATCATTTGATTAGTGATTCAACCGGCAATTGAGTGATGCATGGTGTCAAAGCACAACATTAGGCTCGATAGTCTCCGCCTAATTATCATTTCCCACATAAAATATTGATTATTCTACACCCAGTAGGCCTATATCATATCATGCGATTGCAGGCTCATTTGCATATCATGCAATTGCAGGCTCATTTGCATGAATTTTCAAGATGACAGTTCGGTGTTATAATAAACTATATAATTTAAGTACTGCGGCCGACTTTTACACATAATCAACCAAGAAGGCCGTTAAATATTATAAAGTGGAAAGAGTAATTGCTCAACTAATCAGAAAAAGTTTGTTCGTCACTGCAACCATGAAGGTATATCAATCATGTTTCGCTCGCTACTCTGGTTTAAAATAATAATTTATTTTAAAGCAGAGCAGCAAGCGAAACATGAATCAGAAAAAGAAAAGTCAACTGTAATATATATTAATACGCTTGTTTATTTCAAATATTCAAAATCGCTATATATGTATATATTTAATAATATTTCAATTGTTCCGATATTTTCTGCAAAATTTAACACACACAATATAATAGATTCTCAATGAAATAACGAAGGGATTGTTCAATAAGTCCACCAACTAATTTGTGATTTCCAACAACACATTTCGCAACAACACAGTGTGAACAATCTAATTTCAATTTTTCGTGCGACTTTATAAGCGAATATTTTTCTAGCTACAGTCTCTTAGGTCAGCCGTCAGCAGTAAAGGCCATGATAACATAGCAACAGCTTTCGAGCAACAACAATGGCGGAAAGATCATGAAATGAATACAAAAATGACAGCTATATTTAAACTTTTGCCTATCATGGCCTCTAAAATAGCAGTCTTGTGATCCTCAAAAACAACGTATTTCAAGACATTATAGGGAACCCACTAAACGGGACTAAAATGGCTTAAAATCAAGCGTGAATAAAAGTATCGTTATTCGGGAGTATATTCTGACATTCGCATGGCTGAAAAATCTTGCAAGTATGGCCATAATTTCAGCTCCAGAATACAAAATATGGTCAATTAGTGGACTTTATACAGTGAATGACAGGTATGTTGACGAGAAACTCGGGAACCCATTCAGCCTGATCGAATTGTTCCGAAAATTTAACAATTAAATAATATATTCGGTAATTTGGTAATGTTTCAGACGTTCGCATGTTGGAATTTACAATCGTAAATTGCTAACATTCTTTATTCTGTGTATTTTCCGGTTAAATATTATATTAAAGACGCCATTTTGTCGTTTAATTTCTAAGTACCCAATGCGCATGCTTTAATTCCACAGTGTATGAAATTTCTAGCCATGCTACCATCGCATTAAATATTATATGCCATTTAGACCAAATTGGTGCAAAATTTGCCAACTTTTAAAAAGGGGTAAACAAAGGTTAAAAATACAACCATCCTGTTGTTAAAAACGGGTGCATGTATCAATAACAATAATGTCGCCAAAACAGTCTAATTTTGTGGTCCATGAATCGAATACATGCGGCTTCCTTGTTGCAACAATATATATGGAAGACATCCTGGTGAAGTCGATAGATCAAAGACACAGTAGAGACGTCGTTATATGGAAAACGTATAAGAGTTAAAATTTCTAATGCTGCATCTGTCTAAAATTGAGCAAGTGATGTTGTTCAATTATGATTATTCGATCGAAGTGCTTTCGTTCGAACCACCAAAATAGAAACAAAATAATCATGGCCAGAAATTCAAGACATTTGCACTGAGCATGTGCGAACTTTAAAAAACAAAATGGCCAAAACGTTACTATAGAATAGTATAGGGGAGCGCCAGTTTTTGTAAATATAAGCCAGTTCAATCGCTGTTACAAAATTTGCCTCACTATTTTTGAAAATAACAAAACATTTGTAGTCAAATAAGATAAATATCATGTCATATTATTACCTCCTAGTACGTCCATTTCTTTACCCGTATCGCGCAGATCTGGCTCCTATGAACTGTATACAATGTGCCCAATTTCAGCGAGAACGGCCAGTTTCGTTCAAAATTTTACGACCCGTTTCATTTCTTGTCAAATATTCCTCACTTCCCTCGTAAACTTCACATCATCAAGTATTCCGTCTGTTATTTTCGAAGTGATCTGATATATTTTAGACCTTCCATTTTTGCCGAAAAATGCTGTAAAAATTGACAAGTGAATTATCCACAAACGATAATTTTCATGTGAGCGAAGACGCGATAAACATGTAAAAACAACATCTATCCTTTTCATATAGCCGGCCATATTTGATATCAAAACGAAGTCCAGAATCTGGGCTTTCTATGAGCAATGATGATTACTATGGGTTCCCATAAACGTTGAAAACCAGGAAAATTAACTTATAGACACGACGCAATATACGCGAATGTAGGTTTATATCGACGTCTGATTAAAAAACGCGTCCGCGCAATGTTTTCTTTTGAATATATTGCGCCATTTTGGTATCAACAAGAAGCTCAGGAACCAGGCTTTTTAATACGGAAGGACAGGAGGGGAAATGTATGTATCCAGAGGGGAGAATGTGCTGTATTTGACCAAATATACGGCAAAGTATCCCGATCTCCCTCCTTACGAAGCGCATTAGATCATATTACAATGCTATTTTGTGCAATATAAATACTAAGAAACATAAGATTTTTATCATATCTTAGTTGTAATTTACGCACGAATGAGAGCCATAGCTTGAATAAATGTCTCAGTGAATATGCGAACTATTAATATAACTACGTGTAAAAATATTATTTTAAAACAATATCATTTGAATAATTTGAGCAATATTTCTGTCTCGCTTTGCTTAAATTAGAGTTAATTTAAATTAGTTAAACCAAGTACCCTTCAAGTAGCCGCTGTACAAGGCAGGCGCATGTCCGGCATTTCTGGCCATGTTCGTTAGACTAGAAAAATAACGGTATAAAATATTTATATATAATATTCATGAAACAGCGGAGAGAAAAAAAGGGAAAAATTAAGAGGGAATGACAAGAGTTAACAATAAATTTTGATTTTGTTTTTACAGTTATGGCTAGCACTTTTCAAGTATTCGCTGAGGACCAGCAGGGAGGGCAAACCCACACATATAAATCAGCTGTCAACGATATTTCACAGCAGATTGGCAAGGGTGCACGCTCTTGCATCATCAAAGGAGATGGACTTTGGCAAATTTTCACTGGAAAGGATCTAAAGAGTATACCTAATGTTCTCAAAGCTGGGAAATATGATACTCCTGCCTCGATGGGTATGCTACGTTCAGGAGCATTCAGCGCAAAACTTGAATTGTAGTGACATTTAATTTATCATTCCATGTGTTAATTGATTTTCATGATTAGAAGTGTTATTTTTTAAACGAGATTTTTATCTCTCGTGATACTGAGCAGATAAAGAATTTGATATATCGCACACGGCGTGTTGAGTTTTGTATTTATAATAACATTGTCTCCATATAATTACGAAATTTTGTATGTTTTTTGTTCAGAAATATCAATAAAATGTTCAACTTCGATTGCAAGTTGAAAATTAAATAAGACAAGTTGCTTTTTATTAATTCAGCATGTTATTCGCAACACTACTAGGTAAGTTCCTTCCGTCATCCCCGAACCGACGGCGCGAAGCGCCGTGCGAGGGTACTAATTCCCCCCGGCTATTTACACCCGAGGAAACGAAAGCACTAGCGAAGTCTACTAGAAATACATGCATGCAATAACCCCTCGCCTGTTTTCAAAAGATGTATACTCAGTGCCGTTGCGAGCACTTCGTCTGAGGGTGTATGTGAGGTTGTGGTGGTTACCAAAATGTTTCCAGATGTACAAAAATTTTTCAGGACATATAATAATTTTTCCGAAAATACAGTTGTTTTCCAAATTCAGTTTCTCATGTCCTGAGAATTACCTGAATTCCCCTGAAGATCTTCTGCAAATCTACTTAAATTTACCTAACAGTGCACTGGAAATCTACCTGAAATTCCTCATGAGCAATTATCAGGGGTGTTGCACCCCCCCCCCCAGTGAGTTCCAAGCAAACACTCTCTGATTTATTGTTCGTGTATTTCACCTCCCAAAATATTGTGCATCATACTATAGAGCATTTTGCTGTTGTCATGCTCTAGCATGGTTCAAATTTATGAATTTTTATTATATAAAGATAGTGTTTTACAGAGATTTCGAGCACTGATAAAAATGATAATCTCACATGTGAAATTATTCATGATAATCTCACATGTGAAAATTATCGCCTTTTCAATTATCGCCTTTTCAATTATCGCTTTTCTGTAAAAATTATCGCTTTTCATTTAAGACTGTCCTTTATATAATAAACAGAAAAATACATGGGTGGTTGGAAATACCAGATTTATTTTTCGTGTTGAACATGACATCTCACTCGTTCGCTGCGCTCACTTGTTCGCTGCGCTCACTTGTTCGCTGCACACTCATGTTCAACACTCGAAATAAATCTGGTATTTCGTGCACCCATGCATTATTCTCTATTTAAACTACAACTTGACTGGTTTAAATATTATCAAGTTATCAGTGATTGTAAAAGTTGCAGATAGAAGTGTTTTGTTTTATATTATTATCAAGTTATCAGTGATCGCAAAACCTCCAAATACTTAATTTCAAATGTTAGAATGTTAGGGTTTGTAATCCAAGTGAGAATATATACATTTTAAGACCTAACCAGGAACGACTGCGAGAAATGCAGCACAAGGTCCTCTGGTAGGAATTGAACCTACGGCCCTGCGATTCCGGTGCAGCGCTCTAACCAACTGAGCTATACAGAGGCCAGCTGTTGAGCTGTAACCGTAAGTTCATGTATATTTAGGTAATCGGGTGTGGGGGTTGTGATAAGGTGGACTTCAATAATTTGGATTCTTGCACTTCACTTGGTGGACTTAATATTAGAATGTTAGGGCTTGTAATCCAAGTGAGAATATATACATTTTAAGACCTAACCAGGAACGACTGCAAAAAATGCAGCACAAGGTCCTCTGGTAGGAATTGAACCAACTGCCCTGCGATTCCGGTGCAGCTCTCTAACCAACTGAGCTACAGAGGCCAGCTGTTGAGCTTTAACCGTAAGTTCATGTATATTTAGGTAATCGGGTGTGCGGGTTATGATAAGGTGGACTTCAACAATTTGGATTCTTGCACTTCACTTGGTGGACTTAATATTAGAATGTTAGGGTTTGTAATCCAAGTGAGAATATATACATTTTAAGACCTAACCAGGAACGACTGCGAAAAATGCAGCACAAGGTCCTCTGGTAGGAATTGAACCTACGGCCCTGCGATTCCGGTGCAGCGCTCTAACCAACTGAGCTACAGAGGCCAGCTGTTGAGCTTTAACCGTAAGTTCATGTATATTTAGGTAATCGGGTGTGCGGGTTGTGATAAGGTGGACTTCAATCATTTGGATTCTTGGACTTCACTTGTTGGAATTAACATTAGAATGTTAGGGTTTGTAATCCAAGTGAGAATATATACATTTGTATATTCTCACTTGGATTACAAACTATTCTCATTTGAATTACAACATATATACACAAAATATATACATGTACTATACATTTGTATATTCTCACTTGGATTACAAAATATTCTCACTTGGATTACAAACCCTAACATTCTAATATTAATTCCACAAGTGAAGTGCAAGAATCCAAATTATTAATTTCAAATGCCCCGGCGGGGCTAAGGTTCGAGTGGAAATGCCCAACCCCCGGGATGTGCTTTACAGGAAAATGGCTGGGCAAGGGGGATGGGCACACTTGGATTTGGCTGATGCATTAAAAGTCCTGTGCTTATTCCAGACTGCTTGTCAAATAATTACTTGCTAGAAGTAGAAATTTACTCTGACCACTGCACGAAGAAGACATTAAATAAGTCCTGGTCAATAAACAGAAATGTATTTTATTTCATAGTATTACAATTTTATTTTTATACTATAAAAATAAAATATAAACATGCAGCATAGAATATGCAAATTCGAGGCAAAATTATTGTTCAATCGGTTTATTTATAGGATTCTATAACAAATAGCAACTATAAAAGTTTGTACCTTGTCTTCACATCGCTTTATTCTGTTAGCCAATGCTTTTAAATTTACATATTTTAGAATCAGTTCCTTTCCTGGTAACTGCATTTCTAAATGAAACCATCGTGAGTAGTGAGTGCTGAGCAGGCCGTTTTACTATAAACAAATTTTAGGAATTGATAACAACTTTGAAAAATATGTCGTTGCACATTCGGTCACAGTCGGAAAAATGTTCAAGTATGTTGTACCGTCGTTTGCAACTAACGATGAACAGTCGCTCATAAAAACATTCGCGTGATTAGAATCTTCAATGTTTGTCAAGAACAACAACACTTAATTGTTGTTTCCCATGTGTGCAATAATAAGTAACAAAACTTTGTGTGGTCTGAACGTGTTGGGCTAGAGACCTAGTGGAAACTTTTACAGGCTTTTTAATGAGAATAGAGAATGTTTTATCTGCAACTGTTCACCTTTAGTTGCAACCACTGAGCTATACTATATTACTGGACAATTACTGGAGGACTTACTCGGGATCAAAAAGTGTCGCCAAAAACATGGCGGATCTTACGCCATTTCCATGACAACACTTACTTTATTTTCATGGTAACTGCCACTGACCAACCGCGATCCTAAGCATTCGACGATGTCCTTAACCCCCCTGGTTTTGGGGCAAATATTAATACGATATGGAGCTAAAAAAATCTTAATATTTCCCTCGAACATTACTTGTTTTACAACGCGGAGCGAGGGTGCGGGTTTGCTTCGCTTGTGGATGCAGCATTTCACTACAAATAAAGACTAATTCTTTCAGGTAAGATTCACGAAACTTTTTTATAACTTTCTAGACGGCTGGAGTCACTAGACCCTTATATTATGTCAAAAACTCATCCTAATATATACAGCGAATATTTCAATAGGGGACATAAAAGTATTGTTAACGATTAAACATTGTGTACATGAAATTATGCTGTTTTGTGTCAGCAGACAGCACTGGCCTTGGTGGTTTTATTGCCAGTTTTTAATTTATACTAAAAATTGTGGTTGTTTACATCACATGATTACATGTTCATATATTTTAAAACGTTTATTAAATATGGTGTGAAATTTATATACTTGCCCATCACAGTGCAGAATTAGTATATATAGATAAGCACAAGACCAGAGAGACTTGAGCCATAGAGGAGGCCCACCTACATGTGACAATGCATATGCCCTGTCCTGATGAGCCCTAACGACTGTCTTTATTATTTTACTCTGTCTGTCTAATGCTAGATGATTTTAAGGAGATTGAGACTGCTCCCTGCTGCCACACAGTGGGTTAATTACCCTATCTGCAAATGAGCAGCCCCTGAGATATATAGTCAGCCCATTAAGCTGCAATGAACCCTGGCTACTTTCTTATTTTACTCAATCTGTGAGATTAAATCCAGATGTTTTACTCATCAAGGGAAGAGTCTTTAATTAAAATAGATATCATTTTGCCATTGTCTGTTCAGAACTATATAAAACTATATAGTTTTACACAGCTTGTGGGCAACAAAAATGTTGCCCACAAGCTGCCAGGATTTAAGTGAGTCACTGATACACTAATCATGAGGTACAACATTTCTAACAAGGGTGGATTTCATTTATTTAAAAGGAGGGGTAGAAATATTTCTGGTGGGGTGCAAGCGGCACCACTCAGTTAGCTTTGGCAGGGGTTAGGAATTTGGGTTAAAGCCTTTCACACAAAATGGGAGGGGTGAAGCAGAATTTTGGTGGGGTTGATCACTTTTTTAGAGGGGTTTAACCGCCCCCCCCCCAAGTAAATCCACCCATGATTTCTAACATTGGGAGTAGTGATGTCTGATTGGCCATGACACAGCCTATGAGAAATTATGATGAAATTTGCTCATAATAGTTAAGTTTGACATATTTTAGCAGTTAGTTAGGAATGTAATAATTGCATTGCTGAATATTGAAACATGACATTTAATTTTGAAGCTCGGATCAATGGTCTTGGTAAAAACAGATCATGTGATTGCAGTATTACACTCTCCCCTTGACTTAGTCTAGTAAAATTGTCTGGCATTAGGACTAGATTGAAATAATATAGTAAGGCATATCAAGACACATTACCACTTGTGAAGGGTTAACATATGTGTATATGATATTTTTGTGATGTAAAGATGTATAATGTATTATGATAATAATGTCATCTTTTATTTTGCAGAAATTACATGTTTAATATGCACAAGAGATGGCACTGAGGCATCAACATGCAGAAAAAACATGCAGAACAACAAAATTAATTAGTTAATTATAATACCATGCATAACAACATAAATAATTATATGATTATGATAACTTTATTGAAGTGTAAATAAGTTTTATAGGAATTAAAATTATACATTTTTGTTTTTTTTAAA